TTTCATGAACATCTAAGAAGCAACAAACGGTAGCACAATCATCCGCCGAAGCCGAATATGTTTCGGCATCTTTGGTGACATCACAAGTTATATGGCGAATAACAAGTCTGCGATAGCAATGACAAAGAATGCAGTCTACCATAGCTGAACCAAGCACATTGCAATCAAACACCACTTTATCCAGGAGGCTGTGGAGAATGATGAGATTCAACTCAAGTATTACAAGGCGGAGGATCAAGTGGCGAACATCTTCACTAAAGCACTTTTGAAGGACAAGTTTTAATACTTTCGGAAAATGTTGAATGTCACACAACAAAGCATTAAGGTTGAGTGTTAAAGTTAAGACTTTGTTGTGTTATTTTGCATTTGAGCTAAAAATGTTATGATTGTAATTGGGTCATAAAATATTAGTATGTGTTTGAGTCATGTTTTGTTGTATTTAATTAGGCCCAAATATAGAAAACTCTAGAAATATTTGGGTGTGTCTAGATAAAGCTTGCAAGAGTCTTTTTTTATAATATATGAAGTGTCTATATTTAGGTGTATCTAGAAAAAGCTTGTTAGAGACTTTTCTAGAATATATGGAGTGTTTATATAAAGTTTGTAAGAGACTTTTCTAGAAGATATGAAATGAAAAAAAAATCTAATTCCAGAACTTATCAAGTATTCCCTGTTTGTCTCTTGTTTCTTCAATTAATCAAGGCTCGAGCCTAATCTAAAGCCAACAATGTATCCTTTTTGTTCCTCGAATTCTAGAGAACTTTGAACCGGAGCCACCTCTCCACAACAACTTTGTTAGCCCAAAATCTGCAATTTTGGGTTCAAATTCACTGTCTAGAAGTATATTTTATGGCTTCACATCACAATGGATAACCCATTCTAGACACTCATGATGAAGATAGGCCAAACCTTTGGTCGTCCCCAGTGCAACTTTGAACCTTTCTTTCCATTCAAGGAAAGTGGAGGTGAACAGGTGCTTGTCAAGTGACAGGTTTTCAACATACTCATAGACTAAGAGACTTTGTCTCATTTCCCAACAGAATCCCCACATACTCATAGACTAAGAGTCTCTGTCCCGCCTCCCTCATGGGCACCATCTCCATCGACTCCTCGCCTTGAACCATCACCTGTACCTCCTGCGACTGAGGCGTCATCACCCAATTCAATCCACTCCACCAAGGGCGTCGTCCAATCCACTCGGCGTCGCCCAATCCACTCAGTGTCGTCTACATCCCTGCACCTGCAAGGCGTTGCCAGCAGGCCCTTCTACACCATGGGCGTCGCCTGCCCAACCTTCTTCATCATCGCCTACGATTGGTGTCGCCTAACCCAGTGCTGAGTTAGCGTCGCCGCTTCCCACGTGTTGCTCACCTCATTCGCTGAAGTAGCCTCCAGATGTGCCATGGGTACCGCTAACCTCTTTATCCCTATGGGCGTCGCTTGGGGCATGCTAGGTGTCACCTTCGCTGCCCTGGGTGCCTCCTTGAGCACTACCTAGCTTGCCTCCTCTGGCACTGCCATAAGGATCCTTAAGCATCACCCTTGGCTTCGCCATGACGTCGCCTTAGGCTTCACTTGGATTTGTTGAGGTGCTACCCAGGGCTTCACCAAATTAGCCTAAGCACTTGATTCTGCCTACGATCCCCTTGACTGCCTTGCTAGTCTGCAAGATCTCCATCTCTATCTTCCTTGAAGCTTCTCACAATCTATGAATGGAAAAGTTGCTTAGCTTAGAGAAAAGGGGAATAATTAAAAGGTGGAGAAATGGATAGTCTTTTAATAGGCTACATATGTACTTATCACAAAGGCCATCCCTTGGATGAGAAATGGGGTTTTTGGCTACTGGGTCTAAGGGAAACCCAACAGATGAAATTTGATACCATTACAATGGATGCCCAACAACGGAGTTATCGAAGGAGAAAAGAGGCTTCATGAATAAAAAAGGATGAAAAGCTGAAGGAGTTACAGTGGAGAGCAAGGTATTCGGTCTTCCTAGATGAAGAGCTCGCTCATGCCCTTAACCCCCTTTTCTGTCACAACTAGGGCTTGGGGCATGGGGGGGAAAATGACGAGCCCAAATCTAGCTGATTCAGGCCCAATAAATCAAGTAAGCCACAATCAGCTAAAAGGCAGGTCAAGCCCAATTCGTGAATTCGACCCAGCCCAAGGTCACGTGGGGAGCAATCATCAAGATACACACTCTCGAAGATCAAGACAATCTTAATTGTACTTATCTTTTTATAGCTCCTCGAAGAACTAGTATCTTTACCCTCAAGTCACCGCCTCAACTATGACTCTGTGCCTATAAATTATAAGCTTTCTCCACTAAGAGGGGCATCTCTACACACCCTTCACATAGTTTTTTCTCTCTCTCATAGCTATTGTATCTCTCTCAAAGTTAACACTTACTCTCTCTCTCACCTTACTTTATTAATAAAAATTCTTCGACCACCGTCGCCATTTTCTAGAGTAGAGTAGGTAATCAAGACCGAACCACTATATATCTGTGTGTTGACCCGATATTTACTGTATTACCATTGATTGCTCTATTAATTGTCTATTAATTACACTTTATCACACACTCAACTGTTGATCTTGCATAAGTCTATTTTGTGCATCATCAGTACCCATCTCTAAATACCAGATTTTCATCACCCCAACTACTTTTTGGGTCCAAATAATACTAGGAAGACCTTCAAGCCTCACTAGTCAAAAGTCAAGAATAATGTCATCTCTCCCGTGTGTGTTAAGCCTATCATCACTAACCGATAAAAAGTGATGGGTTATTATCAATGATGATACCACTAATTGATTAAGGTTGAGTCTAGACCTACCAATTTGGGCATCTAATTTCAGACCACGCAGTTCATGATAAGTAATACAGGATGTGCAGGTCAATAATCTCTAGCAACGAGATCCTTGTGGGCATGATGACAGCGACAACTAGCACCTTCTGAAAGGCTACGTGTAACTCGCAACAACCCAACATTCTAGTAGATGAGTCACAACCGTCTTAGCACTATCAACGTTGATTATCCAAAGAGAACGTCGGTTACGAGAAGATGGCGAGGATCACGCAAGGTAATCACGAAAGGCATTTGAAAACTATAAATAAGAGTCAAATCCCTCACAATATTTTCAAGCAATTTATCTGTACTGTTACCCTATGTAATCTTCTCCCTTGATCAATACAAAACTCCCTTAGAAGTAAGAGACTCCATTAGAATAGATTAACAGAACTCCTGAGCTGGTGAACTACTATAAATTTTTTGACCACTGTTCCATAAATTGCATTACCTAAATACCAAGAGCTTAGGAACTCTGATTGGACATTCCAGTGACTCCCAAACGTCTAGATAACACGCCCCTGCTCAACTGTGTAGAACATCACCATCAATCAATGCCATAATTTATTTTGTTTACCAATGAGGGTCCAAATTAATTTACGTGTATTAGAGAATTCATAAATAATAAATTGCTAATTATAATGATTTAGATTAAGTTACTTAGTAGTACGTTAAGTATGATTTTTATATGGTTGGAAACATAATACTAAAGTTTATTTTTAAAATTTTTAAATAAATAAATGGAACTCAAAATAAGTTACTTCCCTTAAAACAAATGTAGTGACTATAATATTGATTATATTTAATAAATATCTAAAATATTTAAGTAATATAATAAGCGTATAATATATGAATTGTCAAATGCCAAAAAAAAAAGGGAGACACAAAAAGAAATTTGACACGTGGGTTGGTTAAAAATAAAAATAAAAAAGAGAAAATCATGGAAAAATTGATATTTGTCCAATGATGTCACATGCTTTGCATCACATAGGTGATGTTAAGGCCAAGCCAAATTGGCTATCAATAGTCAACGGCAGAGAAAGAAAGAGGAAGGAAGAGGGAGGGAGAAAGGGAAGGAAGTGGGAGGGAGAAAAGGAAAGGAAGTGGTCAAAATTTTATCCATAGAGTAGTTCGTTTTGGGGATTAAAAATTTAGGTAAGGTTTTGGGGTATGATTTAATAATTTTAGAGGTTTAACTTGACAAACAACTACTAGATTTGATCCTCGTTAAATATTTTTGGATTAAATTCAAACATCGCTATTTTTCGTTATTCACTCCATTTTTTTTTGGTTTAAATAACTCATAAGTACTTAGTTTTATAATTATTTTACAATATTACTCGGTTTCGTTTTGACACTACGCACGATCTCGATACGAAATAAAATAATAAATACGAAAGTAGTATATACTATACTTCTGTCTTTTAATCTATTTGCAAAAAGTGTCATTTTGATGGACATAAAAGGAAACTCAAGGTGTCTAGTTTTTTATATTAGAACTTGAACAACAGGTATCATGAAATCCTTCCTCTGTTTTTTTATGTGTAACAGATTGACTGTTTGTGGGGCATATGAGACATTGGCCCATGCGTGTTCTTTAAGCAGCTGAATGGTAAGTTTCTGAATCCTCACTCACTTCCCAATTAAAATGTCTTAAACCCTTCATTTACATTCATTGATTTTCATTTAATTTGCACAGATACCAGAAAGAAACTCTAGCATGTATCAGATTAATTTAATTTTGCATTAGTTTTCATTACAAACATGGCACACTAAGGTTACCAATCTAAACAGTGCTTTGTGGCCAAAGACTAAAAGTTCCCTAGACGCAGAACAAAAAATTCAATCTTAAAACAGAGACAAAATTAAAACCAAAAAGTGGAGGTGAANGTAAACATCAACTTTTGCAGTAATTGGAAGGTTCAGAGCCCACTCTGGAGCCATGTACCCTTTTGTTCCTCGAATTCTAGAGAACTCTGAGCCGGAGCCACCTCTCTGGGACAGCTTTGCTAGCCCAAAATCAGCAATTTTGGGTTCAAATTCACTGTCTAGAAGTATATTTTCTGGCTTCACATCACAGTGGATAACCCATTCTAGACACTCATGGTGAAGATAGGCCAAACCTTTGGCCGTCCCCAGTGCAACTTTGAACCTTTATTTCCATTCAAGGAAAGTGGAGGTGAACAAGTGCCTGTCAAGTGACAGGTTTTCAACATACTCATAGACTAAGAGTCTCTGTCTCCTTTCCGAACAGAATCCCCACATTCTAACCAAGCTCATGTGATTGATCTGTCCAATTGTGCTCATTTCTGCCCGAAATTCTTCTTCCCCTTGAGGCACATCTCCTAGTCTCTTCACCGCCACCACCCTCTCATGCGCCAAAACACCCTTGTCAACAGCACCAGAGCCACCTCTTCCTAGCTCTACCTTGAAATTTTTGGTTGCTTTTTTGAGTTCAGCGTAACTGAACTTCCTGAATGGACTTGATATCCCAAGATATCCATCTTCCAGCGCAGCCGACGCACCATGCCTCCTAAATAAAAACCACCAGCCCGATAAAATAAAGAAAATTTCAATTACACCAATGGCCAAACCAAATGAGTACAGATAAACCCATTTCACCTTTTTACCTACTGCGTCATACATAGAAGGAGAACCCACAAGTATTGTGGCGTCGCCTGATCCACATATGGCATTGGAGCCATTAAGAATTGTGGGTTCTGATGCTGGGAGGCTTGCCGGGAGTTTTAAATATATATACTACCTGGGAAAGCTGGAGACTTATAGCCATTGAAAAGTGCACTTTTGGTGTAACATACTCCTGATTTAATGGAGGAGTAGGTTAGTATTTTGATAAACAATTGTGTGGATGTACTCGATTCTTCCTTCATTGCTTTTTTATTTTACCTATATTTTTATGCTAGAATCAATAATTATCTATGTGGCTAATCCTATAAGAGGAACTTGAAAAGTCATTGAAGTAAAAGAACCTATATATTCAGAAAGAGGTTCGAAATATTATTGGTGATTGAATTAGGTTATCTAATGTCATATGTAGGTATTAGTTTAGCAACTATATGTACTATTATGCATGTCAATGAATTATTAATTAAATTAGTCACTGTTCTAAATGTGTTCTAGCATTAATTGTGGAATTTGCCAAAGAATGTGTTTTGGGGCCAAAATGGGAGTTGTAAAATTGGTACTTAGGTGATAGCATTAAACTAAGGGGTAATTCTCTTCAAATAATAATTAGGGGTAATGTAACACAATCCATATTGAATTGATAAATATATTTTTCTTTTTTCTCCATTTTTGGAATTCTCTATGTGTTGTCAAATGTTCCATGACCGGTTGCTTATGATTTCCAATACAAAATTAGCACTTTTTTCACCCATGTGTTTGATAACATGAAAACTAATATAGTTTTTTTTTTATCCTAATTTCAATTCTAGGTTGATTTATTTAGAAAAAGAAGCAATTAGGTTCAACAATGGAACCCATTTGGAGAGATTCTATTATCTACCTTCATTTTTGTTTTAGTTATTTTTCATTTGGTTAAGAAATTGATCTATGGTTAGCTTCATTCATTCGTAGATGACATATTCAAATCAAAGGGAATCTGGGGACATCAAAACAATGGCTTTAGGCCCCATGAAAAAACAAGGCCCCAATTTTTTTGGAAAGTAAAAATGAGGTCCCAATTTTTTTAAATAGTATAGTTAATCTTAACATATTTTTGTTATGATTGTTAGAATTTTTTACTGGGATAGTAATAATTATTACATCATTAAGTTAAAATATTATATCATTTCCTTATGCCCCAATAACATTTTCTAAACACCAAAAATAATCACTAACTCGTTATTTTCTCTCAATGTTTCGAGCATTCAAANGCTGGAGACTTATAGCCATTGAAAAGTGCACTTTTGGTGTAACATACTCCTGTTCCTACCATATATACTAATTTTTCATATGTTTGTTAAAATATTGACACAATTGTCCGGTCAATAATTAAGCTTTCCTCATTCAAATAATTTTTTATAGGATTTTTTTTTTTTTGACTAACTGGTTATTAGAATTCACAAATATAAGATTGATATTGGGGGAACAAATGAAACACATACATTTAAATTGGTCATATGTAAGTACAATTTTGATACTAGAATGTTTATATTTGTTTAGGTAAAGAGGAGTAGATTGGATATGGTACTCAAAATTGAAACCGTTGGTGGATTTGACAAAATTTGTTGAATTTGCAATCAAACTTCTTTGAGTTGTTCGAATTGAGTTTCAAGAATGGAAGAAGAAAAAAAATAAAAGAAAGAACACTACAAGATTTAGAGTCTTTTGAGAGAAAAAATTTGCGACGGCGGTGTCTACCGTCACTAAAATAGTGTGTTTTAGAGAAATTATTTTTTGTAGAGATAATGTTATTATAAAAAATTTATTTGCTTCCACAAATACTATTTGAAACAGATCGTCGCCGCCACGTCAAAAAAAAGTATAAAAAGTCAATCTTTGTTGATCAAAAATGTACCATTAACAATTGACAGAATAGTGTTGGCCGAGTTGTTTGCTTACAAATGTTCAAAATGATGATTTAGAAAAGGAAAATGTTATTTGGAACTAATTTGAGAACCTAATCTAGAGATCTAATGATATACAACTATTGGATTGGTTGTGGGTTTCATCTAACATTGAAACTCACAACTAATCCAATAGTTACATTGAAGTCACATCATTAAGTCTTCAGATTAAGTCTCTAAATAATATCCCTATAGCATTGCTCTTTAGAAAAAGCATGTGTCGTGTGTGGATCTCGATAGACATCTTGCAATGGCATTCAAAAGGTGTTAAGTTTAAATTTATTTCTGAATTAGAGTAATTAGGAATTGTAATGTTGTGTTTGTGGAAGTAATCAATTGGTTAAAACATGTGTCTCATAGTGAAGATTTCAAAAGGTAGTGCACGACCTTTTTGAAATTATGAACAATAATTTTCAACTAGCTTGAGATCGAGTGACAATGGAATTTGCTCATCTTATATGTGATCATTGATTTTTAAAACCCTTTACAGTTGCTTTGTTTAAACCGGCCACTTCGCAGTTATGTCAATTATCTCTTATTTACTTGAGGGATAGCATGAAATGGCCGGCCAATAACCTAAGAAATCCAAATTATTGTTTTCAGGAAAGGGTAATGAAAACCTGATTTAATGGAGGACTAGGTTAGTATTTTGATAAACAATTGTGTGGATGTACTCGATTCTTCCTTCATTGCTTTTTTATTTTACCTATATTTTTATGCTAGAATCAATAATTATCTATGTGGCTAATCCTATAAGAGGAACTTGAAAAGTCATTGAAGTAAAAGAACCTATATATTCAGAAAGAGGTTCGAAATATTGGTGATTGAATTAGGTTATCTAATGTCATATGTAGGTATTAGTTTAGCAACTATATGTACTATTATGCATGTCAATGAATTATTAATTAAATTAGTCACTGTTCTAAATGTGTTCTAGCATTAATTGTGGAATTTGCCAAAGAATGTGTTTTGGGGCCAAAATGGGAGTTGTAAAATTGGTACTTAGGTGATAGCATTAAACTAAGGGGTAATTCTCTTCAAATAATAATTAGGGGTAATGTAACACAATCCATATTGAATTGATAAATATATTTTTCTTTTTTCTCCATTTTTGGAATTCTCTATGTGTTGTCAAATGTTCCAAAACAAATGGTTGCTTATGATTTCCAATACAAAATTAGCACTTTTTTCACCCATGTGTTTGATAACATGAAAACTAATATAGTTTTTTTTTATCCTAATTTCAATTCTAGGTTGATTTATTTAGAAAAAGAAGCAATTAGGTTCAACAATGGAACCCATTTGGAGAGATTCTATTATCTACCTTCATTTTTGTTTTAGTTATTTTTCATTTGGTTAAGAAATTGATCTATGGTTAGCTTCATTCATTCGTAGATGACATATTCAAATCAAAGGGAATCTGGGGACATCAAAACAATGGCTTTAGGCCCCATGAAAAAACAAGGCCCCAATTTTTTTGGAAAGTAAAAATGAGGTCCCAATTTTTTTAAATAGTATAGTTAATCTTAACATATTTTTGTTATGATTGTTAGAATTTTTTACTGGGATAGTAATAATTATTACATCATTAAGTTAAAATATTATATCATTTCCTTATGCCCCAATAACATTTTCTAAACACCAAAAATAATCACTAACTCGTTATTTTCTCTCAATGTTTCGAGCATTCAAAATAATAAATTTTCTAATTGATGTACTAAATTATATATTAAAGGTAGATTGTTTTTTACTTTAATGTTTTGCTTAGAATATTATATATCTATATAATAAAGTAGTTTACAATTCAAATTTCAAAAGATAAACAAAATGACTTTTGTTATTCTCGGTTGAGATTGCTTTAAATTTTATTTTAAAGTTAATCTAACGGTTAATATTAACAACCTAAATTTAATAGGAAAAAAAGTCCTTAAAGGTGTGTTTGGAGTGACTTTTTAAAAATACTTCTAGAAATTACATATCATAAATACTTAAAAAAAAATAATATTTGAAACCGCCTCACCACCACCGCCACTATTNATTCTCGGTTGAGATTGCTTTAAATTTTATTTTAAAGTTAATCTAACGGTTAATATTAACAACCTAAATTTAATAGGAAAAAAAGTCATTAAATGTGTGTTTGGAGTGACTTTTTAAAAATACTTCTAGAAATTACATATCATAAATACTTAAAAAAAAAATATTTGAAACCGCCTCACCACCACCGCCACTATTGTCGTCGCCACCACCACCACGGTCATTACCACCCAACACAACCATCACTGTCTCCTATCACACCATTGTCGCCTACCACCTTTCACCCTTACTACAAACCGATACTTAAATTCATTTATTTCTTCTCTATATTTGTGATTTGAGNAAAAAAAATATTTGAAACCGCCTCACCACCACCGCCACTATCGTCGTCGCCACCACCACCACGGTCATTACCACCCAACACAACCATCACTGTCTCCTATCACACCATTGTCGCCTACCACCTTTCACCCTCACTACAAACCGATACTTAAATTCATTTATTTCTTCTCTATATTTGTGATTTGAATTTGAATATAAATACAAATATATTTATTGTTTACTATTTTTTATTACTCTATGTCTGTTCAGGCACAGACAATAACTAATATATATATATATATTACCTTTAAAATTTACTTCCACAAACAGAAATTTTCGAAGATTAAAATAGAAAAAATTCAGCCTCAAATTCATTGTAATATAAAAAAGATTAAGTAAATAAATTATGTTACCAAAAAATTAATATAAAAATTTAATTAGTAATTATGTACTTCAAAAAATTAAAAAAATCACTTAAAAAAATATAATAAGCCTCATCTAGATTTGTCGCTTTAATTTTCTAAATATCTTGAGCCTATCCTGACTTAACTGGAACTCAAAGTAGTTAACGTGCAACGCGCACGTATGCAAATACTAGTATAACTAAATACTAATTTGATAAAATTAAATATCAATTTTGCGTTGATTTGATGAGATGAAATGTTAATTTAGTTTAAATTAAATAAAAGATAATAATTTGATAAAATTAAATATTAAATTGATCAACCTAAAGGCTAATATTATAGAACTAAAAAGGAGTGCAATAGAAATTTAGGGTGTAATTAAAATTAGGTCTATTTTCAGGGAGTGTTATTAGAGTTAGATCTATTCATAAGAGGTGTAGATAAAATTTACCTTATAAAATACTTAAGATTATTTCTGTAAATCAATCATCGCCGTTAATGATGTAACTCAACACTCACATACAGGGGGTGACCATGAAGTTTCATAATCAGGAGGGGGCATTATTGAATTTAGAATTAACTACAGGGGGAGTGGATAAAATTTATCCTATAAAATACTTAAAATTATTCCTATAAATCAACCATAACCGTTAACACCGTAACTAGACGATCACTGATAAGGGGTTATAGTAAAGTTTTAAAATTGAGAATNTTCAACAATGGAACCCATTTGGAGAGATTCTATTATCTACCTTCATTTTTGTTTTAGTTATTTTTCATTTGGTTAAGAAATTGATCTATGGTTAGCTTCATTCATTCGTAGATGACATATTCAAATCAAAGGGAATCTGGGGACATCAAAACAATGGCTTTAGGCCCCATGAAAAAACAAGGCCCCAATTTTTTTGGAAAGTAAAAATGAGGTCCCAATTTTTTTAAATAGTATAGTTAATCTTAACATATTTTTGTTATGATTGTTAGAATTTTTTACTGGGATAGTAATAATTATTACATCATTAAGTTAAAATATTATATCATTTCCTTATGCCCCAATAACATTTTCTAAACACCAAAAATAATCACTAACTCGTTATTTTCTCTCAATGTTTCGAGCATTCAAAATAATAAATTTTCTAATTGATGTACTAAATTATATATTAAAGGTAGATTGTTTTTGACTTTAATGTTTTGCTTAGAATATTATATATCTATATAATAAAGTAGTTTACAATTCAAATTTCAAAAGATAAACAAAATGACTTTTGTTATTCTCGGTTGAGATTGCTTTAAATTTTATTTTAAAGTTAATCTAACGGTTAATATTAACAACCTAAATTTAATAGGAANACTACCATCAACTGCGTTCTCACTCCCTTATCCATAAGATCATGGGATCAATAGATGAAAGGCATTTGTTTAATGGACAAGAGGAAATCATCGGATTAATATTGTCAATTTTCAAATGTTATAAGTGTGATGCCTATATAATCAATACAATAGCTTCTTTTTATAAAATTCTAAAATTGTTTGGCAGAGTAAGAGAAAAATATTGTGTGTGCGAATCTCGATGTCATCCTGATTATTAAAAAAAATTCACGTGCTATGCTCCAAATCTAGCCTACACGTGAAGAGCCGTGTGTCATCCTAATTATTAGAGTAGATGATTGTTTAACAATTCTTCAAGACAAATTACTGATGGACATGAGGGCAAACTCAAGCTATCTTGTTTGCATATTAGAATTTTATCAACAGGGGTCATGCAATCCTTCCTCTATTATTTAATGTGTTACTAATCGACTGTTTGTGGTGCATATGAAACATTAGTCCATGCGTGTTCTTTAAGCAGCTGAATGGTAAGTTTCTGTGCCCCGGAAGCAAGAATCTCCACTTACTTCCCAATTAAAATGTCTTAAACCCTTCATTTACATTCATTGATTTTCATTTAATTTCCTCAGACACCAGAAAGAAACTCTAGCATGTATCAGATTAAATTAATTTTTCATTAGTTTTCATTACAAACACTGCACACTAAGGTTACCAATCTGAACTGTGCTTTATGGCCAAAGACTAAAAGTTTCCTAGACACAGAACTAAAATACAAACCCACAACAAAGGCAAAATTAAAACCAAAAAAAAAACATAGGCAAGAACAAAATGAATGAAATTACAGATTGTTANTGATAAAATTAAATATTAAATTGATCAACCTAAAGGCTAATATTATAGAACTAAAAAAGAGTGCAATAGAAATTTAGGGTGTAGTTAAAATTAGGTCTATTTTCAGGGAGTGTTATTAGAGTTAGATCTATTCATAAGAGGTGTAGATAAAATTTATCTTATAAAATATTTAAGATTATTTCTGTAAATCAATCATCGGCGTTAATGATGTAACTCAACAATCACATACAGGGGGTGACCATGAAGTTTCATAATCAGGAGGGGGCCATTATTGAATTTAGAATTAACTACAGGGGGAGTGGATAAAATTTATCCTATAAAATACTTAAAATTATTCCTATAAATCAACAATAACCGTTAACACCGTAACTAAGACAATCAATGATAAGGGGTTATAGTAAAGTTTTAAAATTGAGAAANCCATTGTAGGTCGCTTGCTTCTATCGTCGTCTATGCAGGATAGACCTATCTCAACCAAGGTAGCTGCCTGATTCCTGCAAAACTGCCCATTCAATCTTGGATCCAATATATCCTCTATCCAAGAATCTTCTCCACACTGGATTTTTCTCTTCACTATCCTAACAAACCTTGTAAGCTCTGCTTCCTGCTCCTCAATTTCCTCTACCACCCAATTTGAAAGCCGAATTCCCTTGATCATCTCTANACCCTTCATTTACATTCATTGATTTTCATTTAATTTCCTCAGACACCAGAAAGAAATTCTAGCATGTATCAGATTAAATTAATTTTTCATTAGTTTTCATTACAAACACTGCACACTATGGTTACCAATCTGAACTGTGCTTTATGGCCAAAGACTAAAAGTTTCCTAGACACAGAACTAAAATACAACCTTAAAACAAAGGCAAAATTAAAACCAAAAAAAAAAAAAANACACAGAACTAAAATACAACCTTAAAACAAAGGCAAAATTAAAACCAAAAAAAAAAAAAAGAGACAAAACAAAATGAATGAAATTACAGATTGTTAGGAGTACATGTTACTGATTCATCTTGACATTCTTGTAGAGCTTGGACTACTGAATCCATTGTAGGTCGCTTGCTTCTATCGTCGTCTATGCAGGATAGACCTATCTCAACCAAGGTAGCTGCCTGATTCCTGCAAAACTGCCCATTCAATCTTGGATCCAATATATCCTCTATCCAAGAATCTTCTCCACACAGGATTTTTCTCTTCACTATCCTAACAAACCTTGTAAGCTCTGCTTCCTGTTCCTCAATTTCCTCTACCACCCAATTTGAAAGCCGAATTCCCTTGATCATCTCTAGAATTACAACCCCATAGCTGTAAACATCAACTTTTGCAGTAATTGGAAGGTTCAGAGCCCACTCTGGAGCCATGTACCCTTTTGTTCCTCGAATTCTAGAGAACTCTGAGCCGGAGCCACCTCTCTGGGACAGCTTTGCTAGCCCAAAATCAGCAATTTTGGGTTCAAATTCACTGTCTAGAAGTATATTTTCTGGCTTCACATCACAGTGGATAACCCATTCTAGACACTCATGGTGAAGATAGGCCAAACCTTTGGCCGTCCCCAGTGCAACTTTGAACCTTTCTTTCCATTCAAGGAAAGTGGAGGTGAACAAGTGCTTGTCAAGTGACAGGTTTTCAACATACTCATAGACTAAGAGTCTCTCTCTCCTTTCCGAACAGAATCCCCACATTCTAACCAAGTTCATGTGATTGATCTGTCCAATTGTGCTCATTTCTGCCCGAAATTCTTCTTCCCCTTGAGGCACATCTCCCAGTCTCTTCACCGCCACCACCCTCTCATCCGCCAAAACACCCTTGTAAACAGCACCAGAGC